TCAAGTAGATTAATTCTAAGACCCTGTACATAGAAAAAAGCGACCAACTACGCACTGAAAATGAGGGGTTCTAAATTAGTTTTTTTTCCTGATTAGGTGAGACCTTGAAGTCACTACAGATAGCTTTGTGAAAATACAGTTTTCACAGTGGTTGGCAACAGGAGCGGTGAAAAAGCAAACTGAATTTCAGGAGTAATAAGGAATGAACAGAGGAGGTAATAGGAAGCAGCAGTGGGACATTGGGACACTGCACTTATATGCAGCATTTTAGTGTCCTCAACTCTCTACTTCTCTAAGCTGCAGCTGCAGGACACCACTGGAAAAGTTATTTCATGCTACAGATCCTTTAAATCTGGCCCAGTTTTACATTAGATGTTTGCTACATTAATGTTGAAAAACAAGAGCAAGGAGCAGTTCTACTGCTCAGGCAATTTCCTACACCTAATCATCTAAAACAAGTGTGTATTTATGATTGTGGAGATCAATTCTGTTGCCTAATTTCCCTTATTCAATATAATTTTCCATTTATTGGCAATGCAGAGAGTAATAAACCATCAGGTTCAAACCAAGTTGGTTCTGAGACTAAAAACTCAGAAGATGAAAAATGCTGTGAACAAAGCAGGCTTGGACCTTGTAAACATTAAACATCATCCTCAGTCATCCAAAAAGGTGAATCCTTTGCCCACCCTATCTTTCAAAGGTGAATTTACAAATAGGCAGCTCTGGAACACTCTGCCCAGGGAAGTGGTGGAGTCAAAAAATGCATGGATATGGCACTTGAGGATATGGTTTAGTGGTGAATATGGTGGTGCTCCAGGGCAGAACTTGGTGATCTTAGAGGTCTTTTCCAACCTCAACATTTTTGTGATGAAGAATGACATTATATCTTACATATTATTATCCATTCCTACAAAATATTTTACAGTGACTTGACATTTACAAATGTACCAAAACAGTACAGGGATTTTACCACCAATTCAGCTGTGCCACGTGGAGAAGTGGGCAAAGCCACTCTGCTTTTGGCAGGGCTTGGTGCCATTCCAGCTCTTCTTTCCACAGGGATCTGAGCTGGGATCTGTTCCCAGCACTGTTCAATAAATTCATAAGTGGCATGCAAAGGGCTCAACAGTGAGATGACAACATCTGCTGATGACAGTAAAGTTATTCACAGTAGCAAAGGCAGTAAATAAGTAGGAAAAAACAAAAAGAAATGCGTGCAGATAACTCACTGGACATTAAAATATATAAATGAAATTCAGGAGTGAAATTAATGAGGACTCTCAATGAAATTGAGTGCGAAGTAGGATGAGTGGAGGTGGGGTAAGTGGCCCTATTTCATGTATATAGGTCAGCAGGCTTTGAACTGACTCAACACTGCAGCAGGCTGAGCTCTAGAAAATTATAGTTGTAATGGAAATAGTTATGTATTAATTACTTAAGTCTTCTCCAGTGAAAGAAGCGTATTTTAAATGGAGTTCAGGCTCGGAAGTTAACAAAAGAAGATGGCTCCTCACTGAACAGGCTGATGTGGTGGAGAACCAGAGCTTTACACTTCCCAGTACTCCTCACTCATGAATTCCAAAAGACAAATCCAGTAAACACTGCAAAAAAAAAAAAACCCCAAAAAACATCCAGCTCAGTCAATCCATGTCCAACAGCTGTCTGGACAATGAAGGGTGTGCAGGAGGAGGATCCTATTCCCATTCTGCTGCTGTGCTCCTCAATAACCCACCTGTAGCCACTGCTGGAGACAAATCACTGCTCTAGGTCAGTAAATGACAAGAGCTCTTTCCTCCTCCTACCTTCAGTACCTCTCTGCAAGCTGTCAGACCTTTTTAGTCTATTCTAGACTTTCTGTGTTGTCTGTCAGGCAAAATCATCAGAACTATGCTGGAAAAGCACATCCAAAATGCCCAGCAGGAGCAGCTGGCGGGGTGAAAGGGATCAGATGCCCAAGCATAAAGTCTGTCACCCTGTAGATAATTCTGTTTGCATTAAAGTTACAATGCAGCTTTGCTCCCCATAAAACACCCATCCACCAAAGTGCAGCAAAATAGTCCCCTCCTTCTCAAAGGAAAATCAAGCCTAATAAAAGAGCCCATTCATTGTTTGAGTTCCCTTTTCCACAAAGGTGACTTGGGCTTTTTGCTCTTTCCCTGAATTTCCCCTACATTTCCACTCTTGCTAGAAGGAAAAAAACAAACCCACTTTGAAAAATCACCTGGATTTCCAAGCAACAAGATGAAAAGTCCTACTTATTCCAGGAAACAGTCCTAATTCATTTAACAAAATTAATGGGTATTTTAATGACACTTTTAGACTACCACACTGTAACTCACTCTTGATACAGTCTAATGGTTTAAAAATAGGAAAATATTAACCACTGTCCCAAAATAATCTTTGAAATAATTACCATATCACTATTTCCCATTATTTTTCTTCTCAAAAAGATGCCAAGTTGCTTCAACATGGAGCAAAACAAATCTGCCACAGAAAGAGAATTCAGAAGAAAATTTTACTTTTCTGGGTACATGTAGCACTAATTCTTAATAGCCAAGGCTACAGAAACAACTTCTATGTCAACAGGTACTGAATCACTTTAAGAGATTAAAATTATTGAACAAATCACTGCCTCTAACCACCTACTCCTTCCCTTCAGTATTGTAAAACTTCCCAGGGATTAAAGACCGTTAGAATGTAACTTATAGAAAAAACATCAGAAATCAATTTTGCCTGTTACTGTATTTTCTTTCACACAGCACAGCTGCCTAAATTTAGCACGGCTGTTTTTATTTCTCTTACGAACTATGTTAACAAACTCTGTGGGGCTCTTCACTACCCTTGACACTGAACCACAGACTTGCAGATAAAGGCTGGGAAAACTGACAGGGTCAAATGTCCAAGTTGGGAAAAGGAGGATGAGTAATGGGGCTGTACCAGTGATCAAGTGCAACTCCACTCAGCTCTGGAAAGTCTGGAATAGGAATGGAATATGGAGAACCAAGCATAGATCAATTAATTTTACATACAAATATATCTAATTGCACACTTGAAGTTCCTGGAAGGTTTGCCACCTGGGCTAAATTACCTAAATCCAGGCAGAACTATCCATGGAAAAGATGGATTCCTTTCTACAGGCACCTCTTCAGAGATAAGTCATCCCCTTCAAGGGGGTCTGGAATAGGAACTGTCAGGAAGCTGTTCGTTGTTCATCCTACCTGCCCAGCAACACCTGGACATTTAAGCTTTGTGAGAAAAACCTCCCCCACAGCATTTGAGGTCAAACAGAAAAATGAAGGTATTTGTATGTGTTTGGGATGTTTTGTAGAAGCATCCAAGCTGAAACTCCTCTGGATTCCCAGGATTCCTGGGAATCCTGCATTGCTGTGCCTGATTGCTACTGCATCAGGCTTCCACAAATACAATCGTGCTCTTTCACAGGTGCCCAATCCCACCTTTGAGAGTTATTGATGCTGCTTGGAAAGATCAAGGATCTGGAGCCACACACACCAAATACCTTCATTCTACCCTCCAGAGTGTCTCAATTCTGTATCCTCCTCACTGTGCTTGGTGCAGACACTTTGCCAGCACACTCCTTCCACATGTGAAAACAGCATTTGCCTGAAAAAAACACTTTCCTCAGCTCCATATTGAAAGGAATTAACAGGCTGAAGAATTACTGCAGAAAGAAAACCATTTTGGCATTTAAGATGTGGTGACAACCAACCAATGGACAGGAAATCAAGTATTAGAGTGGAAAACGGCAGCTGTACTCAGTTGGTACCTGCTAATATTTGCTGCTGAAATTAGGAAACATCTGTAAAAGGTGAGAGTTGTTATTGGATATATTCTATTTGTATTCCCTCAGATCACAGATCTGCCACCACACAATTCTTATTTCTTCTTGGACCCACCATATCTAAAAAACAATGATCTTGTGCTGTGGAAAGAGATGGAATGTGAAATCCCATCCACTTCCCAACAGAATCCCACAAACATTTTGGCAGGAAAAAATTATTATGTAAAGCCCAGATGGCATCCCAAATATTTCTACTTCAAAATTTAGGACTCTTTTTTTTTTTCTGAAAATAAATTACACAAAATTATCACGCCTAAAATTAACTGTACAAGAGCATCAGGCAAGGTAACCAGACGAGCAGTTATTTGGACTATGGGAAGAATGGGAATGTGGTTTTTCTCCATTTAACTCCATTGTCAGAAATGAATAATATTTTTCTATTCAACTCTATTTGAATGACTGGCAGAAAAGGAATATATAACAAGCTGATACATCCAGTAACATATAATACTTGGAGAAGAACTTTTCCAGTTATCTGAAGTCTAACACCTTCGCCATCAGCTTCTGAAGTAACGTTTCAAACTTTCAGAAGCAAATTTGCCATTTTTTGTTATTCTATCAGGCTTCTTTTGCTTAATATTTATTTTTTTTTTCCCACTGTGCAATTTCAGCTCTGAATCTGGGAATATGACTTCAAAATTGTTTTAGCTGCTGCTTCACTGAAGCAGCTAAACCTGATTATCAGTTTGGTTCTGCATGGACTTAGTCACTGCCCACCCTTTAAGCTCTGGGATAAAGATCAACCCTTGATTCCGACTGTCATTTTGCAGTGAGCCCACTCTTAGATTCCTTTTATATCTATCACTGCACTGAATGCCAAAGAAATCTCAGTGTACTTGGCATGAAGGCTGCACTTCCTATATTTATGCTCCAACTAATGTATGCTCCATTTTAGTCCTTCCCAGCTTAAAATCATATGAGGGAAGACAGCATGAAGTGCAAAACAGCCCATGCAACTGTTTTACTAATACAAAATACTGCCTCCATCACCACCATTCTCGTGCATTTTGGGTTTAAATCTACCCAAAATATAAACCCAGAAGGAACCATGGTCATTTCTGTATAGCATACAGTCCAATCAGGCTTGTTGCTCCACCTCCAAACTTCCAGAAAATAAATCATTACTTTTTAATTGTACTACCTTAACTTTGCTGGCAGAAGCACCTTTTGATTCTTCAAGACGGAAGAAAGTGAAACGCTTTCTCCAGGCAAGAATTCCTTATATGTGGCACGCTAACACTTCATCCTTTTTAATTATTCCACAGGTGGTTGCCTTGGAAACTGCCAAGTAGCTCCTGGATTTGAGGGACCCAGCATGAGACAGTGACAAGCCTTTGTAGCCACAGCATTCGGATCCACGTTGGCTTCAGCAGCAGCAGCAGCAGGAGGATGTGGAACAGACACAGAAAACCTGGAAGAGAGGGTTAAAATTAGCAGGCATTAATTACATTGCTGAGTCTTTTAAATAGAAAATACGAGGAATGCTGGTAGCCCCCTGAACAGGGGATAAAACCCACATTTTAGAGGCATCTGCTCCTGCAGCTCCCCAGCACAGCCCCGGATTTCACCTTCGGAGGACGGCACTGAAATGGAGATGCCGGCGGAGCTCACGAGCTCAGCCCTCAAGATGCAGCAAGATGGGATTATTTTCCCCTCAGCTTCCAGAGAGACCTTCCTGAGTGTCTGGTCCAACTGCCTGAAATTCAGTGCTATTGTTTTGCTTTGAATAAAAATAGAGTAACTATAAATAGCTGCCATCGCGAATGCTGATTCACTGTATTCCGTATCATACGGCAAACTGCTCCCAACTTCACTCAGCTTGAAAAACTAGGAAAATTCTCTTTATTTCAACACAGCCAGAAGCCCAGCAAAGCATCCAATTCTGCATTCATGTCGCTGGTCTAAGAGTACAAAACATTTTCCTTTTCCTTCTCTGATTTATCATCATTTCAAAAGCTGTTCATTTGCACAAAAATATGTAAATAAAACCACCAAAAACCAAACCAAAGCAAAACCTTGTTACGCTTTCTGCTGCTGGTCAAAACTACACATTTCATTTTTTCAAAAATCTTTTTTGCTTCCCCATTTTTACTTTTTAAACAAAAAATAGATTAACCTACGCCTTAAAAAACAATTTTCATTAAAACTATCCATCATGATGGAAATGGTCACTCTTGCACTCAGAGGCCTCCCTCTCTTTACTGGTATGATTAGTGTGTCCAAGTCAGTGCTTTCTCGAGACCTCACTCATATGTAAGTGCTTGGATTTGTGGTATCACAAATTGCCTGGCAGCATCTCAAGAGTAAGAGATGGATTTGCTTCCACCCATCCATGGTGAGACACCCAAAGACACAAGAGCATGTTTTTTAATTCCAGAGCAGAGTTCTACTAGAATGAGCTAGATTAAATATACATTTATTGCACAGAAAAAAACTACAGTGAAGTAAGAGAAAGGAAAATGTTTCTGAGTGATCTCCTCAATGCTCACTTTGCCCTTCCATGGCAGGTCCTTCTCTCTTTCTTGCCTTCTTCAATCACTTGCTTGATTAAAAATTAGAATCTGAAACCATTTTCTTTCTCCCTGTCACCGAATCCCACCGAGGACAAAGCAAATCCTGGTGGGTACCACAGTTTTCCCTTTCTTACTTCCCTCTCCACATCTCTTTCAGCCACTTCATTTTCCTGTTTATGAACAAAGTTTCTTGAAAATTATGTGACAAAACCAGGTGTTTTCTTTCCCTCGTTCCCAGCAGCTCCAGAATTGGGACCTGTTTAATCCTGTCTGGATTCAATTTAGGATGAACATGAGTTTCCCCAATTCCCTCATCCCACCAAGCCATCCACCTCCATACTTTGGGAGGGGAAATATGCATCCTTTTCAGCCCATCAGCCCGTGGTTTGCTAAGCAGCTTTTGGGGATTTTTCCCTGCAGAAGTGGCATTCTAAAACACTGTGGAAAATCCAGAGCATTTTCTCTATTCTCCTCTTCCTAGTTACAGCTATGACCTCCTGCATGTCCTGCTAATACAGGAGAAAACCTCTCCTCTGCCCCAGCTCCCTCAAGTGTCTCTGACAAACCAAGGCTCCAAAGCCTTTTATCACAGATGGTTCTCTCCTCTGAGGAAAGGTGGATTTTTCATCCCTGCCTCAGGCATCTTAACTGTACTCTCAAGCACATCCTCACCCTGCACTCATGATCCCATTTTGTTTTTTCTCACAGGGGCAGACAGGTGAACTTTATCTTAGACCAAATCTGGTGCTTGACCAATTTCCCAGAGTTAGTCCTTTCAATCCACTGAGATGTTCTGAAAACGAGGGCATCCAGTTCTCAACAGGCACCAATGCCTGTCATTTTCATTTGCCTTATTCTCAAAGTAATATCACCCTGAGATTAAGTCAAAAGTTGTGTTGCAAGTCGTCTTCTTGATTTAAATCCTGTACTTTTCTATAGGAATGCTGATTTCTGAAGTCTTCACCCATAGGAGGTGATGAAACCACTGCATCTCCCCCCTATGCTATCACCTCAGACTAAGTAAGTAATTTAGGAGACTGCAAGAGAGTTCTTGCTAGCTTTTTTCCCCTCTTTTTAATATGTATTTTGGAAACCTCTATACAATGTACTTATGTTAAATATGTTTATTTTAACACATACTCTTCAGACATTCTGTTTCTGTGAATGACCCCACCTGTGCAGTGGTTTATCTCTGTCGCGTTCCTCCTGCTCAAACTTCTTAATCCCAATTTGATCTCTGCCAGTCTGGTGATCTGTCTATATTCTTAGGCTCTCAGACTTCCTCTCTTCTTCATATAAAGGTTATGCATGGGAGCCATGGGATGAACTCAATGAAAGACTTGGATTTCTTTTCTTTTCTGTAGAATTCATCCACCTCATGTGCTACCAACACACCTGGATCAACATGGAGTTCCACCAGCTGAGTTTCTGACCAACTCCTGGAAGAAAGGCATGCCACACTCTGCAATTCTTTTCCAGACCTGTGTAGAAGAGTGCTACTGACTCTTCAAAATACAGATCAAACCTTCTGTCTCAGCCTTCAGAGGACACAGGTTTTTGTTTGTTTCCAGCCTCCTGGCCCAGGGCTGCCTCAAGGTTCACACTTTGCCTCTGCCACCCCTGTTCTGGGACCCTGAGTCACTGAGTGATGGAGGAGCTCTGCTCCCTCCTCAAGAATGAGCATCATTAAACTCTAAAAGCACTGTAAACTCCAGAGCTCCGTGTTATTAGCAAAATACATAAAACATGGCACTTGTGAATAGCAAAATTAAAAGCAAGATGAATAGAAGACTTTTAAGTAACTCCCCTGGTCCATTGTGGGTTTTTTTTTTAAATTTCTTCTCAATCCATTAACAACCTAATTTCACAAATCCCTATGCATCCCTGAAATAAGTCTTTCTTTCCCTGTTTGAACATTCCCAGACACTGGAAGGAGGTTTTCCCCTTCTGAGTCTCCATTCCTGTCAAAGGCTCCTTTCTGACCAGTGTCTATCCCATCCACCAAAAAGCTGCTTCCCAAAAATACCCTCGGATATTCTCAGGGAATGCTCCATCTCCCTCCCCACCAGAGGCTTGCACCTGATGGCAAACACAGCACAATAAGGACCTTTTCCTCCCACCGTGGTCAGGAAAGACATGAGAAATTCAAACACAGAATCCCAGAATCCCAGAATAATGAGGTTGGAAGAGACCTCTAAGATCATCAAGTCCAACCTATGCCCTAACACCACAACTAGACTATAGCACCAAGTGCCAAGTCCAGTCTTTTTTTAAACACATCCAGAGATGGTGATTCCACCACCTCCCTAGGAAGACAATTCCAGTATTTTATTATTCTTTCAGTGAAAAATTTTTTCCTAATATCCAACCTAAACCTTCCCTGACATAACTTGAGACTGCCTCCTCAGTCATGACACATCCCACACCGGAGTTTTCAAAAAGGCCCAAAAGGTCACCTTGCCAAAACTTTCATTAACAAGATCCAAGTTCTTATTTCCCCTTTTTCTCTGCAGAATTTCCTGTTTAATTCATGTTAGGTACATTTTAGCTACAACTTCTTACTGCAAAACTCTTTGCTCAGTTCTTGGTTTCAGTCACAGCTCAATGAATAGAAAGGTGACCATTAGTTTAAGTTTTTGGTTTCTCTAGTTGTAGGTTTTTTTTAAAATTCTTAAGAATTGATGCACAGAAGTGATACACAACCACAACCACCATTTTTAGCCAACTAGAAAATTGATGATTCCTTGATAACTGTATTTTGTATGCCCACAAGGCACCCAGACACCTTGAACCAAGTACGAAACTTCATTTTTATTGAATGTTTCAAATACCATATACATATATATATAAAATATGTATGTATACTGGTAGTAAGTCATAGATATGACAGCAGATTGGACCTGCGCTGAGAGTCCCACTGTCCCCTTTGGAAAACTCCAAGGCCACTGCATTAATGTTCCAGAAGCAATTAATAATTTAAGATTCTTTCTTTAAAAAAATCAAATCAAAAAAAACCCAAACAACTTCTATTTCAGCATTGTTTACTGATCTTCTTTTCTAATAGCCATTATTTTCCACTGGAAAAGAAATTAAATGGTGTCAAAAAAGGTGTCAATCCTGGATATATTTTGTTTTTTAAAAAGCTTGCCAACCATTTTTTTATGTTTTACTATTTGACACATAATAAGGAGAAAATAGGAGCAATCTTCTGAAAACTTTGATAGCTGGCAGGAATCCCATTTCTTCAGAAAAAAAAGAAAAGGCCTTGTGTTGTAAAGAAAATTATTTACTATTTGCTGTGATGGGTTTTTCAGGTTTACTTGCAAATGCTTGGTAAATAAAAAAGCACCTTTCTTTTAAAATTATTTTGAAGTATAAATAACTAAAGCAGGCCACAAAGCCTTCTTTAAACTATTCTACCTCCAGTGAAGATCAGCACAGCTTGGCTACTTCATAGCTCTATCAGGGTAATACACATCTGCACAATGAATATTAAAATAAATATTTTAAAAAATCAACAAAAAAACCCCCAAAAAACAAAACAAAAAACCAAAAAACCAACCCCAAAAAAAACCCCAGAAAAGGCACCCTTTGCTGTCTTCAATAAAAACTTAAAGTAAGATTTTTAAATTAGTAATATGGTCATTTCCCCTATAAAAACTGCAGTCTGCCAGAAAAATTTCATCCAAGCAAACTTTTCCACAAATTCAAGTAGAAGATCTTACAAAATACAGGTAAAAGGGAATAAACAGGACACAAGGCACTGCCTGGGACAGGACTACTTAGGATCAGTTGCCAACCAGAAATGAAGCACAGAGGAGAGTAAAACAGGCAGGAAAGATATCAATGTTTGGAGGCTCAGTCAGTAGCAACAAGAACATTTGAAGAAGGGAATTAT